GGGATTAGGGAGGAAGAAGAGCTGCTCAAAAACCGCATGCACAGAAGCTAGTGAGCCCGTAGAGGCCGAGCCAGAGCATTGCCTGGGGCAAGCTCGGTGATTGTACTTTGAGTCTGCGTTGATGAGCGATGATAGCGTTTGAGATACCTGGTGAAGATATTCACACTCCTTTAGCACATAGTAGTAATTGATGACGTCTACGGCCAATGGAGATTCGTGCGTATGATTGTTCCCTTGCGTTGACCTGACTGGGGGTGGAAGGTGGCGGGGCACGCGTGGGCGCGCTGCCACGTGAAGGCCTAGCGCGATTTGGTGGGCGGTACCGAGACCCTTGCCCATGTGAGACGGAACAACAAACATTAGCAGCGACGCATTTCAGCACGACAGCACATGCAGCCACCATGAGGATTATAGAACTCGTAATCGATGTAAGGAACCCCGAACCTTATAGTAGTCGCTTCCTAACACGCGCATAGGGCTACAAGTCATACGCTGTTCGTACCGTCATTTCTGGCTGGTAGGGCTTGTTTACGCTCCCCGCACGCAACGACACGACTGACAGCCGGCGGCCAGGGACGAGAGCTTCAACTCAATCACGGGACTCAACGGATCCGGGAAGTCGAACATCCTCGATTCAATATGTTTCGTACTCGGAATCAACAACTTGAGCGTGGTGCGGGCGCAGAACTTGCAGGTGAGTGCACCGGGAAAGAGTACGCGATGCAGGAGAGCTGACGGTACTGCAGGATCTCATCTACAAGCGCGGCCAAGCGGGTGTCACCAAAGCGAGCGTTACCATCGTGTTCGATAACCGCGACAAATCGAAGAGCCCCGTCGGCTTTGAGGAACATGCACAGATTTCGGTGACAAGGCAGATCGTGCTCGGAGGAGCGAGCAAGTACCTCATCAACGGACACCGCGCGCAACAACAAAGCATACAGAACCTGTTCCAGTCTGTACAGCTGAACATCAACAACCCGAATTTCATGATTGCACAAGGAAAGGTCATGCAGGTGCTGAACATGAAGGCCAAGGAGATTTTGGCTATGCTGGAAGAGGCTGCTGGAACGCGCATGTTCGAGGACAGGCGGGACAAGGCATACAAGACCATGGCTAAGAAGGAAATGAAAGTGCAGGAGATTACGGAATTACTGCGAGACGAAATCGACCCGAAGCTCGAGAAACTGCGGATGGAGAAGCGTGCCTTCCTGGACTTCCAACAGACACAGAGCGAGCTCGAGCGCCTTACGAAGCTAGTCGTCGCATACGACTACATACGATACAATGAGCGCTTACAACAATCGGCCGAGGACCTTGAAGCCAAGAAGCAAAGGGCGAAAGACCTCGACGCGTCTGCTGTGCGCATGAAGAAGGAGATTGAGAACCTCCAAGAGGACATCAAACAGACAAAGGCAACACGAGAGAAGGAGCTGCGCAAGGGCGGAAAGTTCCAGGCTCTGGAAGAAGAAGTCAAGACGCATTCGCACGAGATTGTCCGCCTGACGACAGTGCTAGACCTGAAAACGACGAGCATGACCGAAGAGGTAGAACGGAAGGAGGGCGTCGAGAAGAGTGTCAAAGAATTGGAGAAGCTACTCCAGGAGAAGAAGCAGACGTACGAGAAGTTGCAAGAGAAGTACCAGACAGCCCACGCCGAGCTGGCGAAACAGACAGAGGAGGTAGAGAAGAAAGAAGAACTTCTGCAAACCCTACAAACAGGTGTGGCCTCCAAAGAAGGCCAGGAGGGTGGTTACCAGGGCCAACTGCAAGACGCCCGGAATCGCGCAAGCGCAGCCGCGACCGAGCAAGAGCAGAGCAAACTTCGGATATCGCATCTTGAGAAGCAGATCAAGGAAGACGAGCCGAAGGCGAAAAAGGCCAAAGAACAGAATTCCGGGCTCCTCAAAGACCTCGAGGCGTTGAAATCCCAAGCTCAGAAGCTAGAAGCGGACCTTGCGAAGCTTGGCTACAACGAAGGTCAGGAAGCCGATATGTATCAGCAAGAGTCGCATCTTCAGGCACGCATACGCGAACTCCGCCAACAAGCAGACGGCATGAGGCGGCAGGTTGCGAACATCGACTTCAGTTACAACGACCCCTCCCCGAACTTCGATCGGTCTAAAGTGAAAGGTCTTGTCGCTCAGCTCTTCACCCTAGAAAAGGAGCATACCCGAGCAGGTACTGCTCTGGAGATCTGCGCTGGTGGTCGGCTGTACAACGTGGTTGTCGACTCCGCTGCTACCGGCAAGCAACTTCTCGAGAATGGAAAACTGAAGAAGCGAGTGACAATCATCCCGCTTAACAAGATTGCAGCTTTCAAGGCGTCAGCAGAGAAGATTGGGGCTGCGCAGAAGATCGCACCAGGAAAGGTCGACCTGGCCTTGTCGTTGATCGGATACGAGCACGAGGTCAACGCCGCCATGGAGTACGTCTTCGGATCCACACTCGTCTGTGAGGACGCCGAGACCGCTAAGCGCGTGACCTTCGATCCAGCAGTGCGCATGAAGAGTGTCACTCTACAAGGTGACACATACGACCCAGCTGGTGTTCTGTCTGGTGGTAGCGCACCTCAGTCTAGCGGAGTTCTCATTACCCTCCAAAAGCTTAACGAGATTACGACAGAGCTGAGTTCGCAAGAAGCCCAGCTTCAGTCGCTACAGGCCACCATGGCAAAAGAGAAGAAGAAGTTGGATGCTGCTCGTAAATCGAAGCAGGAGCTCGACCTCAAGAGGCACGAGATCAAGCTCACCGAGGAGCAGATTGGTAGTAACTCTTCTTCATCTGTGAGTGATGACTCTTGGAATTGGAAACCTGGGACTCTACTAACTACAGAATAGATCATCCAAGCCGTAGAAGAGATGAAGCAGACGATTGCTCAGCTCAAGGAAGACATCAAAGCGGCAAAGACCCGACAAGACGAGGCCAACAAGGACGTCAAACGCATCGAACGCGACATGAGCGAGTTCAGCAACAACAAGGACAGCAAGCTTGCTGAACTACAGTCATCGCTGGACAAGCTCAAGAAGGCTTTGAATAAGAATAACGCTTCGATCAAGCCCCTGCAGACTGAGATGCGCGAAGCTATGGTCGAGTCCGAGCAATGCGGGAGCGACCTGGCAGCAGCACAAGAGCAGCTTGAAGAGGTTCAGACAAATCTGCAGTCGCAGCAAGCAGAAGTCGACGAGTTGCTAGCTGAACAATCTCGTGTACAGGTAAGTTTTCTAGACCGACGTCACTTGTCGATGCTAACTTCGTTAGGACGCGCATGACTTAGCAGCAGCCCAGTTGAGAGACGAACAAGCTAAACTCACTGGCTTCGACGAAGAACTTCGCTCACTTGAAGACGCGATAAGGTCGAAGAACTCGTCCATCACTGAAGGCGGTCTGGAACAACAGAAGCTTGGCCATGAGATCGAAAGGTTCCACAAAGAACAGGAAGGAGCAGCTAGCCATGTCAAGGCGCTCGAGAAGGAGTACGAGTTCATCGCGAGCGATTCCGAGCTCTTTGGACGTGCCGGAACAGTCTATGACTTCAAGGGCGTGAACATGGCCGACGCGAAAACCAGGCGGAAGTCCTTGGAAGAGCACTTCCAGCAGAAAAAGAATAAGATCAACCCTAAGGTCATGGCTATGATCGACAACGTTGAGAAGAAAGAGGCCAGCCTCAAGCGGAACATGTCGACAGTCATCCGAGACAAATCGAAGATCGAAGAGACCATCGTCAAGCTCGATGAGTACAAGAAAGAGGCGCTGCACAAGACCTGGACAATTGTCAATCGCGATTTTGGTCAAATTTTCAACGAGCTGCTGCCAGGCAGTTTCGCGAAATTGGATCCTCCTGAGGGCAAGACAATTTCTGATGGTCTGGAAGTCAAAGTCATGCTGGGCAAGGTGTGGAAGCAGTCACTGACAGAGCTGAGTGGTGGTCAAAGGTATGCACTCACCCGTACTCGCCCGGATCACATGCGCTAACATTTTCTAGATCACTTATCGCCTTATCCCTCATCATGGCCCTCCTCCAGTTCAAGCCTGCACCCATGTACATTCTGGACGAAGTTGATGCCGCGCTTGACTTGTCGCACACACAAAATATCGGTCGCTTGTTCAAGACCCGTTTCAAGGGATCGCAGTTCATCGTCGTCAGTTTGAAGGACGGCATGTTCCAAAATGCAAACCGCATCTTCCGCACACGGTTTGTCGACGGCACTAGTGTGGTGCAAGCGTCGTCGGGATCATCTGGATAGGTATTGATGTTTGCGTAATGTGTTATGAGGCATGGTTGGGATACCCGGTTTGCATGACTTGGTTTGCGGAGTGGAAAGATATCCGCGTAGTTTTGCATAGAATGGTGTTGGTGGAGTCTTGTTTATGACACTAATGTCCCGGTTGGGAAGTTGGTATGCACATCCGCGGCCCAAACGGCCACTTCCTCGTTAAGATGTCTTGTCGTCCAAGTCTCCTTCCTGATGCGGAAACCAAAGATACAAGCTGCCTCTACATCCCAGTTCAGAGCAACACCGTGCTTCCTACAGTTGCGCACTACCTATTCTTTCTGCGCACCCACCTACGATACACCTATTAACTTCACGGGTTGCTAATTAACATACAGCCCGCTAGATGCGTGATCGACTGAGCGCATTCGCTTCAAATACACAACAGCGGCTTTCATCGCCGGTCCGCTCATGCTGTCTGCACCACTGACCAGGGCCCACGCAACCGATACCGCCGCGTATGCTTCCATCACACCTTCGGGCATACCAGGGCTGATCGCACCCTCTGCACACGATCTCGGTAGCTTCCTGGGCCCGAGCTCACCAACCTCTCTCACTAGACACTACACCTCACTTCAAGAACATGCCGACCAGATTGTTAGCACGGAGTCGTCAGAGAATGGCGAAGGAACCACCCCAAGACGGCACGTCGACAGACGTGAGGGGTTTAGCTGGGACCATCGAGCAAGCCTCGGAAATGAGAGCAGGCACAGTCGCAACCCAAGGGCGATGGAGCAGGAACGTCCGAAAACACCTCCACCGCTGGAAGAGATAATTCGAAGGACGACCATCGACGATGCAGACCACATCCAAAACAGCAAGCTGCAGCATATCGACAGTATGGAGTCGCGCAATTCTGAAACTACAGCTCGAACGGGTTCCTTTTCCACGGAAACCAATGATTCTTACGTCCGCGATCACAGAAGGTCATCTATCGCAGCTTTTGCCAAGGGCATCGTACGGCACGTACCAGAATTCAGAATGCTTCACCTGCCCGAAAGCAGAGATGACCAAGACCGGCGAGATCCCCAGGAAGGAGGTCCGCTTAAATTACACAAGAAGGACCGCATGCTTTCATTCGCACCGCTTCCTGTTGTCAAAGCGAAGGAGTCGTACGAGCAAGCATCAAAGCCATCCGTCGTGATCGAAGAGCCAACAACGCCAACAAAAACTGCAAAAACCCCATCGTGCCCACAGTCTCCAACGGGAAAAGGCGGACTGCGGGACCGCAGAAAGGTCAATCTCGATCTTTCCATGCCAACCGTCATTCCAGACTTACCTGCTCGCGGCCGCTCACCCGTCGATATTATGGCCAACCTCGGTGCTCCACGCGCGCGAAGCCCGAAAACACCGTGGATTCGCAAAGAGCAGCCGAAGTGGGAGCCAATGCCAATGGCCAAAGCTACGCCAATCCTCGAAGAAGACTACATTCGGGACAGCACCTCAGCGCTGAGGAATGACAACAAAGGTGGCGTAGGTCTCCTGCCCGATACCGATGCGATCTTCTCGTCGCAATCCCCGAAGTTCGAACGACCGCCACCGAAAGTACGAGATCGGTGTTACATTGATCGTCCGCGATCGAAAAGAACGAGAAGTGGCAGAAGTGAGAAGAGTGGTACGAGTGCCAGCGATTCCACGGTGGCCAAAACACCAGATGGGAGTTGGACCCCAGCAGAAGAGAATATATACAGAGAACAGCAAGCCCGAACAAAGGCAGAGTTGCAGCAAATAGCGAGCGAATCCAAGGCGACACGTTCGCGCCGCTGGTTATGGCTGAACAAATCGAGTGACGATGCACCACCCTCTCCTGGACCCGCGCAATCTCTCAATCGCCGCTTCTCTTTCAATCCCTTCCGACGCTCAAACCGCATCTCCGACCAAAACGGCACAGAGGCTACCAAACAACAAACTCCATTCTCCTTCTTCCCGGCTCGGGGCAAACAGGTACCTCCAGTAAAGTCGCTCGCACAGATGCATGCTCCGCCAGCCTTCATCCCACCGGGTCTCCAACGCGTACCAACTCCACCAATGTTCGACTCAAACGGCGAAGTCAAAGGCAAGCTAGCAGACTTCTTCTTCGACGTCCACGGCGGTGGCAGCGCAATCAACACACGCAACAAGCCCAAGTCCAGTCCAGGCGGCTACTGGGATTCCGACGCCCTACTCATGAGCCTAGCAAACGACATCGACAACCCCTCGGACGAAGCAGAAGACGAAGGCCCCTCCGGCCCCCGCAGCGACTTTATCAACCCACCCGTTGACTTTGGCCCGAGCAGTACCCTCACAGCAAGCACAAGCAACGAAATCGGCAACGCAGCAGGCTACCTTGGCGTAAAACCACCAGCCAGTCCCTCCCTAGCCGCCACATCCCCCATGCTGGGCCACGACGTCTGGTCCCGCATCCACCAATCGCACTACCCCGACACGCCCGACGAACGCACTCTCGCAGCGCTCGCCCGCCAAGAAGAAGAAGAGCGACGAAAGTTTGAATGGCTCGTCCCTGAACACCTTCCTAATAGTCCGCTGTGCCCTCTGCATCCTAAGTATAGGGGGCCCAGCGCGGACTTGTGTTACTGGCATGGACGCAGGTCTGGTAATGAGATTAGGAAGGGTGAGTATGGGGGGTTGGGGGCGAAGGGGGTTTGGAATAGCGCGAGTGGGAGTAGTGGATATAGCCAGCATGATTATGGTTTTGGGGATAATGGAGTGGCTGGAGGTATGCCTAGGCTCGCGGGGACGCCGAGTAGGGAGGTGAAGAAGAGGAGATTGATTAGCCTGTCTAATTCTTAAGTGCTAGAGTTGTTGTTAATGTCAAGTTGAAACATCACTGAGAGATGAATGATGTTTACATACGAGAAGATGAATTCTAGACATGCAATTACCATCTACTAAACCGTCGTACCCCATGAAATGCGCCAGTAAAGGAGCCCGTCTATCGTAATGCGAGTGCGCTCGGCACCATGCGCCGTTGTCCCTCAAGACTTCTTGTACGCACTAGCAGGCTTTGCTATCTTGCCGGCATCGCTCCACAACTGCTCCCTCTCACGGATGATCTGCTGCGCCCATGCCTTGACTTCCTCGCTCTTGATAACATCTGCGACCCACTGGAATTCCCCAAGATCATTCTCGCACTTGGACGTGCGCTCGTATTCGACCATCTGAACGAGAAGCTCAATCTTGTCAATGTCGTGCACAAAGTGCGACTCAGCCGTCTCGCTGTCCTCGTATTCCTGCCATAACGCCCTGATGTCCTGGCCGTTGAGTCCACCGTTGAACTTGCCCAGCAGGTTTGTGCAGATGTAGTCCATGGTCTCGGTCTCTCTCCTGCTCTTCTCCTCCTTGGAGATTCCGTCTACGGGTGTGATGTCACCGACAAGCGCCTCAGCCATGTCGTGGACAACAGCCATGCGACAGCATCGCGCGATGTCGAGCTTGGAGCTTATCGAGGCAGGAGCCATCATGGTGAGGATGCTCATGCGGTACATGTGGTCGGATATGGACTCGCCATCGCCGATTTCGAAACGCTGCCATCCTGCACGTTTGGTCGTCTTTAGGCGCTCGAGGAGGTGGAAGAAGGGGAGCGGTGAGTCGGTGTTTTCGGCGTACTTAAGATCGTTCTCTGAAAGGACTTTGAGGTATGTTAGTGATGTGCGGATACAGGGCATGAGGAGTAAGAGAGGTGTCGCATACGGACGAGCTATCGCTTGTTCATGACATACCACTCTCGACTGTCCACTTCTTCTGTTCTGCTTTCTTTGCGTCAAGTACACCGGCGTTAGGGTCGGGCACGCCGTTGACCTGGGTTGCTTCGTCGACTGTCATGATTACGTGGTATCTCGAATGCGGCTTGGGGTCGGAGGTTTATAGAAGCCCAGTGGGTGCGTGATTGTCTTATAAACGGTGACTGTTTGGCGAGTGAAGAATGGCGGGACAAGTGACGAAAGTCAGACAGGGAACAGAAGGCGCGAACGGACCTATCGATAACACCCGCCTTGGCAAACAACGCAAGGGTCCCGTCACACCGCAACACCACGCATGCACCTCAAGTCTCAGGGACATTGACCAGGGTCACCGCGCGAATGTATGCCCTGCGGTCGCGAACATGTCTCGACCGCCCTCAACCGCCTCTGCGGCCACCGCGACTACCATGAGCGGCCATGCGCGCACCGCGTCGGTCAAGACAATTCCCAAACCTCAGGCAGTGAACCCAATAGCAGCGCCCGATATTCGCCTGTTCGTAACCAATTTGCGATTGTTGGATTTGGATTTGCGACCGGATTGGCCTGAAATCACGATACAAACTTTCTCGGCCAAGAATGCAGACCAGCGACAGAGAATTGGCGGGGCTGAATGGGCACTATTTCGACTCTTCGAAATATGGGATCCCAATGAGACAGCACAGGTATGCTGGGATGAAACCTCACGCTGATCTATGTCTGACTCAGCTACAGAAACTCCAACCCTTCTTCCCGCCACTCGAACCACTCCAATCGTTGAACCTCCGCGCTGCGCTATACCGATGTCTGAACGAATTGAAGAAGAACGGCGTTCTGGGAAGAGAGTCGGTTCTTAGGAAGACAATGCTTGACGAGTGCAAGGGCGAGAAGTTCTACGAGATATTGGCTATATTTTCGAATGTCGTACTCAAAAGGGTTCTTGCAGCGCAAGACGGAGGTGACAGAGAAGCCGTTGTCGCAAGAAAACTGGCGACAGCGTCAACACTCTCAGTCGAACAGCAACGATCATTACTGCCCCTAGCTATCGCACACAAGGCAGCGCTCGTCAACGTGCTGAGACAGAAAGAAGAGAAGAGGCTGAAGTACATGGAATTCCATGGTCTTCTGGACAGAAAGGCAGCAGATATCCGGGGTCGCATACGCAAATGCAAAGATACCCCTCGAGCGCAAAAGCCAGCGATACCACAGAAAGAAGCCAATGCCATCAAGAAACAGCTCAAGGACAACTGGGTTGGCAACCAACAGTGGCTCGACGTAATGCTACGCGGCGAGAGCGTACAGGCGGACGATGCGTTCCTAAACAGCCGTTTCGACAAAGTCTTGCATATGGTGGAAAAAGGCAGAAAACTAGAAGACGTCGCGCCTGAAACTGGATTACTGGAGAATCTCCAAGCAAGAGTGCAAGAGCAGCAGGAGAGGTTACAAAAGTGGAAGGCTTTCCATGCTGAGCTACAAAACGACGAGTCAGGGAAAGGAACATCAGGAAGCGGACAGACTACGGCGCCAGTAAATGAGTTCCACTTCGATGACCACTCGCAATATCAATTGCCGTCGGCGAAGCACACAGCAGAAACTACGAGTGTAAAGCGGCCGACTATGCGAACAGAGTTTCAGGACATCCTGTCTGATATGGACAGTGAGCTGGCGCGAGCCGCCAAAGTCAGGGCTAGTACTGCATCTACAATTATACATCATAGAAGTACCTCGACGGCAAAGACTGCTCGCCCACCACTTCTCACAAGGAAATCTACTCAGACGGAGACGATACGCAAAGCACCAGTGATCCCAGCCAAGCCTGTCAAATTACAATCACCATCAAGACCAAGCACGTTAGAACATGTCCCGGTCTTACCCAGACCATCTCGGCACGTTCCGACAACTGCCACACCAATCGACTCAGATGCCACACTAATTGGTCAATCATCTGCGTCGAGTAGAGCTACGACCCAGCACAACGCATCACCGACGGAGACTGATAACGAGCGCACACCAGTACTGGAGACTAGATCTGCTGTTTCCGAGCCCGTCGTCGATAACTCATCGTCTGAAGCTGCCAAGACACTTACTAATTACTCAGAGCAAAAAACGGATCTCTCCCCTGAAAAGCTGCTTGAGCCATCACCAGAATACCCCTCTGAACCGCCAATCCCAACTTTTGATCCCCCAGAATTCAATGCTGAAGAAGCACTTGCCGACCAGATCATCAACTCCATCGGTAATGCGACCCCATCTCCGGTCAAGAAGCCTCAACCACGCATGTCTCTTTCACTCATTGAACGCACACGTATGACGATGGCACGGACAAACTCTTTCGAACCTGTTCCAGAGTCACCTGATCTACCGCTACCATCTATGGGACCACCACCGATTCCTTCGATTGCTGGAGATGAAGACGGCGACCGACGCGCAACACTGGCCGAACGAACCCGGCTCACCATGGAAGCCATGCAATCCAACCCCCGCCCCACCGCCACAGCAAAGAAGGAACAGCGTAAATCTAGCCGATCATCACTCTTCCCCGTCAACCAATTCGATACACCACGGAATCGCAAATCCTTCGAACTCCTAGAACAAGCAAAGCTCGAGAGCATCGAGCGTACACCCACCGAGCAACTATTCAGTGACGAAGTGGATTACGATAGGGTGTTCAAGTCAAGACCGAAGATTGCCACAAGTCCGGTCTGGAGTCCTGAAGGCGGCGTTGGTGGTCAGGAAGAGTTTGGAAGTGACGGCGAAGATGTGGATGGTGTTACGGGTATCGATCTCGGAGATGTGGATCAGGACGATGACGGAGAGGATAGGTTCAAGGAGAGTTGGATGGATAGTCCTAGTCACAAGAAGGGGGTGAGGAGTATGAGGTATTAGATACGAGGAGGTACAATTGTAAATGACATATCATCGCCAGTGTTGGTGTTGACACTGATTCTCCATTTTTACTGCAAGAGCACGGCAGCACGATGAGCCAAGCTTGGCATCATAAGACTGCGAATCTCCTGGTCATCCATACACACTGAGCACATGACATAATGGCATCAAAGTACCAGTTGGGCTAGTCTTCTCTCAAGCCATATAGGCCCTGCTGCAGGGTGAGTTTCACATACCAGGCACATTCATAATCACTTTCGCGTACCACGACTGCTATTGGCTCCTAAGCTATGCAAAGCTTACCACCAGATAGCCACGTCCGTGCCGCAATGGCGAACACCGCAGAACGCCCCGCCATGCCTCTCTCTCATCGCGACAGATACATTCCAGGCTAAACACAGTCATTTCCTGATCTAAGCGTAACTGCACGTTCATTGCGCAGTCATCCTCAGCAGATTTTCCTGAAATTTACAACTGTTGGAGCGCGATGAAGCTGCTTGATCTTCCAAGAGAGCTTTTCGAAACGATCCTACACTATGCCATTCTCGCCCGGGGAACGAAAAGAGGTTTGCGATTGAGACTGATAAACCGTACGGAAACAGTCCATCATGATCTGAGATTCCACACTGACAGCCGCTAGATTACTTCGCGAGTGAGGTGACGCGCGCACTTCATATCTTCCGCCTGCTCGATGGAATCATGTTTCGCGTTCCCTACTCTTGGGAAGAAATTCACTTCTTCCAATCTTATCGAGTATACCGAATCATGCATGAGGCTTTGAACGGAAACCTCTTCCTAAACGAAGTCCGGAACGTGGCGCTGCAGATATCATTGATGCGCGACATCCACGAGGAAGATGAAGGTGTCGTTACGGATGTGGTCCAGACACTATGCGCAACGATAGGAATCGGCGCAGATTCCCGGTCCCGCTGGAGAAACGAATTCAACCGCTCACAGAAGTGGGATTCTCCCGGATTCGAGAAACAGCTCTTTGGTGCGGCGCTTTGCACCAATAGCCTTTCGTACATTCGGCGGTCTGCGGCGCTACGGGATGCCATGTTGTCAAAAACTACATGCCCTGAAAACAGCTGCGTATTTGGAACGTTCTTTGAGCTGGCAGGAAAGCTCGGCAACGAGGAACTTCTTGACTACCTCATGACAAACGCACCATCTGAGTCCGGCCCAGAGGTTAGGTTCGAGCTTTTCAAACATGCAGCACAAGCTGGCAGGATAGACATCGTTCGGTTCCTCCATGGGTATCGTAGCGAAGAGTGGCATTGGAATTTCGAATCCGATGTCAAGGGGAACAAAAGGCTGCTGAACTTCACTCTCGACGGCGGTCATAATCCTGAGATTTATGACCTTATCCAGACTATGCGCACGGCTCAAGGCTTAAGACGAACGCCAAGTGATACTATGGACATTAAATTCTACGGCAGCGCAAAAGTTGGGTATATAGACATGGTGTCGCATCTCCTACGAATCGGCGAGTATGCCAATGGAGATCGAACTGGCATCCTCCATATAGCTGTCAAGTACGCTAGCGAACGTGGCCACGTAGCCATTGTCCAGCTTCTGTTAGACAATGGTGCGAATCCAAACATCACTCTCGAAGGTGCGGCGCGCCGCGGTCATGGGAAGCTCGTGCAAATGCTGCTGGATCGCGGAGTCAAGCCGAGCGAGGCACTTGTCGATGCAGGAAGATACTATACAGCACATGCTAAGCTTCTTGCGAATATCGAAAGAGGACCTTATCTGGACGTAGTGCGGCTCCTTCTTGACGCCGGCGTAGACGTCAACGAAAGCATTGGCAAGGACAGCCCTCTCGCCGGAGCAATCGCCGCAGAACATACAGCACTGTTTGAGTTCCTCCTCGAACGAGGAGCGGATCTGCGTTCCCCTGGGACAGCAGAGGAGTGCGTAAGAAGAGCGAAAAAGGATGGACTGGAGTCTATGCTACTGCTGCTCGAAAATCATGGGGTTGATGTCAATGTTGAGTTAGAAGAAGGGGCATGATTGAACGATGCGACTTCTTCCGCGTAAAAGTAGAAACAGCCCTTTATTCAATGCATATAGCATGAACCCAGAGCCATTCTTTCGCTCAGACGTGAAAACGTAGGATGTATACCCAGGCGACGGTAAAGCGCGTCCTCCTGTCTCAAACTAGCTTGTGTTACGCTGCGTCGCGAAGCATATACCACCCAAGGAGATGATCTTAACAGACAAGCGTATACAGACATTGACTCTCATGCCACGCCATCGAGAGCGCACCTTTTAGTTGCATAGTTGGAAGCCCTTGTCACGGATGCGCGCCGAAGTGTTGATCCGATGATGAACCACACGATTGCAGGGTCTTATACGCACCATGCGATATACTATCTGAAGTAAAAAATCAAATGAGAAATAAACCTTGCACTTAATGTTGTTATGAGGAACGACACTGCAGCCCGCGTGTTGGCCATCTTCTATAGTCTTTTCCTTACCATCCACCCAGGCGATCACGCTCCATGTAGGGTGACTGCCGTCCTTTCTCACAGTGATTTCTATACGAGTATATGTATGCGAGTCGCACAGATTTCGCGAATAGAGGACGACGTGTGACGCGTTATGGTGTGGGGATTGGTTCACAAACCCTAAGGTATGCGATAAAGTAGTTGCTTTGCAGTTGCAAGGTTGACAGAACTCGAAAGGGCATGGCCGGGATTGAGGGCTACTCTGAAACGAGCTCAAAGTTATGTACGCAAAATAGTCCGAGGCAACTTCTTGTGACAAAACGATATCGGCTCGATAGTTGTCCCCTGAGAGATGAGTACCGCAGCTCCAATAATCTCGATGGCTGTCCCGTAAGTTCATGGCAAAAGCCACAACCCGCACGGCACATAAGCAAAATGATCGCCTACAACACTGCAAAGTTGATTGTGCGAGTGTGTCAATCGAGCACTTGTAGTCAACTTGCAGATCGGATCCATCGCCACACAGGGAAAGGAGAGAGTAGATGCGGTCCCGACGGTCGCAGGAATCCTTGAAGTCGAATGTATCGAGTAGATGGATTATGCTTCGACCCTTTAAAGTCCGTGTAGCCCCAGGTAACAGTGCCGTGATCGCTAGCGGGAGAACATGAAACTGCGATTGTAACAAGGCGAAGGCTAGTTCTACATCACCAGCGCACAAGGTAACCTTCCGTGCGAGGGCTATCTCTTGTGTAATCCAAGCGCGATACCAATATTTGGAGTTGATGAAATTGTGATGAGACCAGTCCTTTGGTGTAGGACGAGAGAGATTGTGTACCAGGACTTCCAGATATCCAGTGATGTTTTCTTCATCTCCGAACCACGATAACACTTCTTTCGCGCGAGAATAGATAAGGCCCATTTGTTGAACCTGATGGTTGCGCTCCGCAACGTTGGTTTGATCAATGCACAGAGCATCGATCCACAGCCATTGTTCATGCAGTCGCTCTTTTCGCGTCGCAGCCTCAAGGAAGCCGTGAAGATTACATCGTACTCTCATGATGCTGTTATTGACCACGATACATTGTTCCCTTCCTGGCTCACCCCATAAATACGAGAGACAGATGTACGAGTCGTCGATGGAAGCATGTCGAATCTCGCACTGGATGTAACCTTCGTGGCTTCTTGTTGCAAGAACGCGGATTAGGCGAATGGATGCCTTGCCATGGTCGAGGGGAGCGTATACCAATGTTCCGGCTGGGGGTTGCGGTCGCGATACGTCATCGGAGCTTGACTGGACACGATTTCCCATCGTCGAATGTCTCAGCACTGGAAAGATGTGAATATAGAAGTCGACTTCGCGCTGTCGTGAGTTGTGGAGTGTGTGTGCACAAGGACTATGGGATGTTGGAGCCTAGGCAGGTAAATGGCATAGCCCGCGAGTGGGGCTGTGCAGAGCTACGTAGCTGCACGCAAGCATCCTCTCGTTCAATAATTCGTACACACTCGTTTCCTTAGCTCCGCAGCTATTCTGCGCCAGGCGGACATAAAACCTTATATGGCCAAAGCTGTGTATAATTGGTCCCACAGTCAGTGCTGCTGAATGTGTTTGCAGTCCGCGGATACGAACATGACGATACGAGCTCCAGGTTCCCTACTCGCAGGTGCGATATGGTGAGAAAAGGTTACACTTGGTTATGCTGTTAGGGTGGTCGACAGACCAGGATTGATTTTCAGCGCTGAAGAGTAGCTAAGAACGAACAGATGATATTGTCATTAGCTTAGTTTACCCGTGCGTGGCGCGAACGACGCGAAGAGAGCAGCCGCAGCGCAGGGCCGTCATGTGACGATGCCGATTTTGTCCCTACATCAGCTACACGGGCACACAGCTCGCTGCGATAGTCTCGATCAAGTTGGGCGAGTTTCACAAGGAAATCGAAAGAAAACCTCGCTTTATAGCTCTCTTTGTCGTTCGTCAATCGCAAGGAGCAGTCGTAGGGTCGCACGGTGAGCTCCGTGGATTCCAGCTCCAGGGAGCGTACTCTTCTACTCCATCGGCCAGCGAACCCGGGAACGTGAGCTACCTCGTCAAGCTTGACGAAAGTATACTCGTAGGACTCGCATATCCTGCCCAGATAGAGATGTATCGACAGTAGCTTACTAGAAGGCGATACTACCACGAAGCCCGGTAAATGGGATTGCAGTTTACCGTTGCAACTTGGATAGCAATCATGATATGATTGGCTTGAGCACGAGGCGCGGAGAAAATCTTTCGAAACGATAGGTAGCGTCATCGTTGCAAACGATGAGAGCCTATCGTTCCAAGCCACATCGCTCGGATCCGGAGACTTCAGCTGTAGAATGAATGCAACCACGTTAGTGGCGCACAAGCAGAACGACTCCTTGCAACACCTTATGATATGTTTTGCCACCCTGAGATCCGTAGCTTTGTAGTCGACCTGTAGATCCTTCCCTTCGCCGCAAAGCGCAAGTAGTGAATAGACACGATCTCGGCTGATGTGTGCCTCCTTGAGCTTAAATCGGTTCATCAGATAGATAAGACTTCTACCCTTCCAGTCCATAGTGATAGATTGGCGGAGAAGTTCAAGTCGTCTAGGGTAGCTTTCCGAGCCTGGAACTACTGGGAATAACGAACCGTCCAGTTCTATATCAGCGGCCATGAGCGTTATCTTCCGTGCAAGCCCGAGCTCTTGCGTAATCCATGCCCGATCCCAGTACTCAGCAACGCAAAGATGGTGAAAGCCCTGCCCAGATTCAGGATGTCCCAAAGTCGGTTTCTTCTTATCTTTTGCGCACTTTTCGCTCATAGTACGTGGTCGCATGTACTCCAAAAATTCGGCGATGTTGACGTCATCTCCCAGCCATGACACCACATTCTTCGCTCGGCTGAAAATCACACCCATTTGTTGTACCTGGTGATTGCGTTCGGAAGAGTCGTTCTGGTTGATGCAGAGTGCGTCGATCCAGATCCACGCACGTGATAAATGCTTGATTCGTCTCGCCTGTGTGAGAAATCGATGTAGGTTGTGACGCACTTTGAAGGGTTTGCCGTCCATGAGAATGGTATAGCGTTCGTCATCACCGCCCCATACGTATGAGAGACAGGTGTATGAGTCTTCTGTAGTAGCGTGTTTGATCTTGCATTGAACGTGACCGCCGGCGGACTTTTTGCTTAGGAGTCGTATGAGTCTGATTGAGGAAGTCTGTCGGTCCAAAGGCCGGTACTGAAAGGAACGAGACATGCGTATGCCAACGCTCGAAACCAATTTTTTCGGGTGGCTGCTGGTTCGTATGAAGTTCCGCGTGAAGAGATAAGGTAGCGGAAATGTGGACCTAGTATTGCTGACGACTAGAAGGATTGGGGCGGTACCAGGGCACGGATGACGACAAATATGAGCAGGTAGCTCATAGAGGCGGTGCGTGTGCAAGCCGAGCGGGGCAGCTTAAGGCAGAAGGGCTACGAGCCATTCTCGATTCGAGCATACTGCTTACACCGGAAATCCAAAAGACTGCCTCATAAGAAGACGCGCCTTTGATCCAGACTGGGGCCCGGAACTGGGTCGCGTTGGTTTGCTACGACTTCTACAGTGTCAATGAGAATCAGAATTATCCTGTATGCTTCATAGTTATTACAGTCTAACTAGACAGTGCTATGAGATAGCATGCTAAGCGGGCTTTCAGAATGTCTGTAAACCCACGAATTTTGAGGCGCGATGCAGTAGCGGATAGTCTGCAGGATGCTGAGGTGACGTTCATATCCGAGGCGAGTAGCTGGAATTATTCCGACGGTTGCAAAGATAGCGAAAGACTGCGACGGTCTTGTTCACGGCTCTTGCAGAAATTGTGGTCGCAATGAACGAAGGCAGGCTGCGAGCGAGCCGGAGCCCCACCTCGACAGGACCGTGCGTTGACACGTTCGCCACCGGAAGACATCGGGATAGACAACTGTCCCTTGGCCTAGACGACCGTATTTCTCAAAAACAACACTTCGCACGCTTCATCTCAAACGAACTGCAGACCTGGTACCGGCACCGCAATCGCAGCTTTTGGTTATCATATGCCGACTTGCAGGCAGATGGCTAACCCGAACGATTGCCAGCTCTGATCAGAACTCATCTCTCAATGACTTCAAGCTAATGGAATATGGCAAAAGGTCGCATACCTGGACGTGGAGAGAATTGTCACTATTCAAGGAGCCGCTTGAGAAGATATGTTCGCATCGTAGCGGCCTCTGGCCAACAAGGCAAAGCTCCCATTCCCGACAGTCTTTAGCAATCGTGAAACACAATCCTGTTGTCCTCATGTTACGCCGTATCCTCATATTACCTAGGGCTCTCGCATTCCTCTTATGTCTTTGTGTCATCATCATCGGCCGCGTGCATAAAAATCACAGACAATGTGCTGCTCGGGGCTTTGGAATCATAGCGTTCACCTTCTTTAGTCATCTTGCCTTGGAAGGAGCAAGGACGTCGAAAGAGCACAGTTGCACTACATGATTTTCTGGTATATTTTTCGAATCATCGATTGGCTTGCTTCCATTTGCTTGTGTGCGAGACCGCTCTGTCACCGCGTCCTGCGCGAAATGCCTTTGGCTCCGTTTGTCACGGTTGCCTACCCAACAGGTTTTTCTGCTCTGAAGCCCACCTTCACCGCCAGTGCACACAAGCGGATTTTGCCTAGCATTCCTACGCAGCTTTACCCTTCCCTCTACCCACCCCATCGATTTCAGAGAGCTTGCGACACAACAACTACAGATTACCGCCAGACTCACACCATTCCCGTCGCCGAGAATGGCGCCCACGCCCTTGCTAGCCGATGCGTATCGCAAGTACAAGAGGGGTACCGAAAGTCTCGTTCAATGGCTAGCTGAGACAGCCCGCTCCACTGGTACAGTGGACAAGGTGTTCAGCGATACCGCGATACCGCCTCCGGGAGGCAGGCTGAAAGGAACTGCCAGGAAGGAGGCAAGGAATGCTCCACGCACTTGCCGAATCGCGACAAGATCGTTTGTTACTCTTGCTACTGCCATCGTCAGCGACAAGAAACTCTCCGTCCCAGCCTCGGTCTTGACAACCCTGCGGGCTGTGATACGAGGCCGCAGGGAGTGTGCAGTCTGGTACGCGACTGCCTGTGATTCCGAGGATGACGCGGTCAAAGCAGAAAATGCAAGCCACGCACATTTCATCAAGACATTAGAAAGCGTTCTGGAAATCCTTAAGGCCAAGAAGCCGGTAGTCAAAAAAGTGCAGCTCAAGACCATGGAGACTGGACTCCTCCGCACAGGCAACGCATACCACGTCCTAGAAGAGAAGGAGCTTTCAGGATCCGACGATATACCTGAGATTACTGAGATCCAAGCTAAACCCGCCAAGACGAAGAAGGTCACGTACAAGCTCGAAGAGTCTGATACTGACGTCATTTTCGCTGTCTACTGCTTCCTGAAGGACGTTACAGATCTCAGGATTGCAGTCAGGCGCACTTGGCGTGAGTTTGCGAACGGCGACATTGGTGTCCAGGCTGCCGCCCTTACCATGAACGTCGCCTTGAACATGATTAAGAAGGTCAGCGACGAGTTTGAGGCAGCTAACCCTCGATTCAACGATTCAGAGAATCGGAGCATACATAGCGATATGATTGACTTCGTATACCGCAGACGCCTCCCGACTAGACAAGGTTCGGCCTTCGATGCAGCCGACGGTAACGACGAACCTTATGCTTACAACGAAGAGAGGCAAATGTTACACCTCGACACTGTAATGTGCGTGCATACCACAGATATACTTCTTCTCACGTTCGGTAAAGAAAAAGACGAAGAGTTCCAGCTCACCAACGACGAGAAGAGATTCCTCAAGTGCGTTACGCAGCTTGCAGCATCACCCCCTATGCACCTTCGACTCATCGATGAATACATGGTGTACAAGGCTGCAAGAGCCATGCTTTCTGAGGGCCTTCAACAGAGTTGGATCATGTTCTCCCTGCAGATCTTCTGGGATATGCAGCGAGAGCTGGGGCCTCATCTGTCTGTGGGCGAATCGCTTCTCCACAGAACCGGAAGGCAGATTCTCGAAGGGTACCAGTCCTTCCTCGACTTCAAGGGTCTAGAGAAATTGGTTCACGGCTACGACATCCAATGCGGAAATGCCTTCGCGTACAAGAAATTTATCGAGAAATACATCGATAGCAAGAACGTTCAGATGTCGTTGGATGCTGATGAAGAAAGCGCGTTTCCAGAAGTCAAGCCCCGTAAGATACCCGGGTTTTCACTATTGAGGTGTGATCCCGCGTTCTGCGGGTTGTTGTTGGCTACCATACGCAAAGACAATCACGAACTCGCCATCGCACTTGCATCGAACCAGGCTCACATTATCGGGATGGCTCATCTATACAACGCCACTCGATGCGCCGGACATCTACCCAAGAATCTGAAGTGGGCTGATATGGAATGGCTTATTGAGCAGCAAGGTAGCGATTGGATTTTCATGGGCAAGAAGCCAGAACCAGTCCTTGCAATCGGAAAACGCGCTATGCTGGTAATGGGAATCCTATACCATGAAGCACATAAAGGCTACAGGTCTAGCACACCGGGTGGAGGCGCAGCATACTTGTCTCGCGTTAGTGCACCACGCCGCCTTAGGTGTCATGCTCAGTATCTCGAGTCGTCCATTGCTAGGAATCCACGCGATCTGACGCATCAGAAAGTCACGAATGATCTCCAACCAAGCAAAGCCACTCTTGTCAAGGTCGAAATGCTGCTTGAAGCCGGTCACAAAACGTCTCAAAAATCAGTCAAGAAGTTGTCTTCTCTCGAAAAGCTGCATCTCTTCAAGCAGGCGGTTGTCAAGGACGAGACAGCTCTCACATTCGATGTGATGGAGCTGTTTCTGCGATGTATCCGGATATTGCAGCAGGTCCATAAGTACGCTCGTGCTGTTGCACCACTCGACTATCCAGCGGCACTGTTCGAAGGAGGGATCTGGTTGACCAACGTTATCCTATCCATGTTGTTTCATCTGAAAAAGCTTAAAGGGGAGCATCCGTGCATCCTTCCGGTGGTTGGTATAATGCTCCGCAAGATGATCGAGAAAGAGGGAGATTCGGTTCTAAGGGGTGCTGCAGCGTTGCAGGAGAGCACGAGGCTTAGCTTTCCAGGATTCCGGAGCGTGGATGAACCGAGCTTCGACTGCCTACCGGAAGACCTGATTCGTCCTCCAGTGCGAACAGAGTTTCCATACTCGATGTATTGGCAGATGCTGCAACAAGGGCCTTTCACGTCTTGATATAGCTCTAGTTACGAGTTGGAGGTATCTAGCGTTGCATCCTGTAAGAGATCATCGACACTTTTTGGTTTACGCGAAGGGTAGATACTCCGCACAGCATCTGGGCTTCCAACACAGATATGCGAACACTGAACGATATGCAAGAGTTTAGACGCAAAAGCATGATCTTTGTCCCAAGGCTTGATGAATTAAGTAATTATGGCTAGAATCTAGATCCACAGCATGGTCATGGCGCTGAGCAACAAGAGCCCTCCACCGAGACTCTTGCCCAAGACCGCACCAGACTCACCCGTCTGCTCAGCCACAGCCGCACTGCCCGTCGCACTTCCCGTCGGCGTCACACTAGCCATACTCGCGCTCCCTGTAACATTCCCCGTCTCCATCGCATGCTCACCGCCCACACCCCCATCCACATTAACATTAACCGTCGCACTCGCACTCGCACTCGGACTAGCCTCCGTCTTCAACCCCGAACTACTCGCACTAGAACTCTTCTCCCCATCACCATCCTCACTCCCACTCTTCTTCACTTTCCCATCCCCGCCATCAACAACAATACTCTCAAAAGACCCACTCAAATCGCCATACTGATAGCTGGAACCGGGATTCTGATTCCTCACCTCCACTTTCTCCACCACCATCGTGAACGGCGCAGCGCTGTAATCCGTTTCGCCGCCGGCCCACTCGATGGTTCCCTCGGCGTTGTTGGGGTCGCCGCCGGCCCAGATGCCGATGCGGACGTTCATGGGGGTTTGCGGGTAGTTTGAGCCGCCGTTTGCGTCGGAGTAAGAGAGTGTGCGTTTGGGGGTGCCGTCGACGAGCCAGGTTGTGGAGGTCGAGGTCCACGCGATGGTGTAGTTGTGGGAGGTGGATTGGGTGTCGGGGATTGGGGCGTCGACTTCGCGGTCGTGGGTTGTGGTGTTGCCTTTGCCGAAGTAGTTTGCTGCGGGGTGTGTTAGTGGGGGGTTCTTATGGCTGGATACGAAGGGGTATGGATGTAAGGAGGGGGATAGACTTACTCTGAACATTCCCGGGCTGTCCACCTAGCCACTCCCAATCTACCTCATCTAGATCATCACTCTCGAGAATGGCACTGCTCACCACGCCCTTGCCGGGTGCAGCTTTCATGACGAAGCTCACACTACCGAAGAAGATGTACCAGTTCGATTGGATGGTGGGTGCATCTCCGGCTTTGTTGATGGTGAACTCCGCTCCTTTCGAAGTGTACTTCACATCGCCAGCAGTGACTTTCCAGTTCTCATCGTCGGCACCGGTGGTGAAGTCGTGGGTGTAAACTGACTCGGAGAGTGCGGTGTCTGCTGGACAGGATTTCTTGGTTGGATCGCAGTCTGTGGAAGTTTGGGCGAGAGTTTGGGTGGCTGAGAAGAGGACGAGGGAAAGAGGGAGTAACGAGACGTTGGGGAGGTGCATTATGGAAGATGTAGAATTAAGTCGTTCTTCTGTTGGTGTTGTGAACGAATGACTTGAAATAGGATAGAGAAGGGACAGAGGCAGCGACAGTGAACTAAGCAAAGAGAGAAAACAAGTCTTGAAGCACGAAGATAAGCACCACAAGGAACCCGCGTACCCACCTACTTTAATCACAATCTACAAAGCTTGCCATGCTCAACCCTCCGCGTGGCACGCACCTCCCTCGTCGCCGCAACCCAGGGGCTCACCAAACCACACCACTCTCCACAGCCCCCGTCACTGTGGGTCCCTTGAATTACCATCGTCAGCTCCCAGATCACTCCCTGTACCCAAAGATACGGGTGCCAGGACCAAGCATCCACAGCAACTTAGTTAGATAGCAGCGGCGGGAACGAGAGGGTCAGGAGGGTACGCGAATTACAGGTACCAACTCTCGGCCCGTGGTTAAAGCCGCGTGGGTTAATGACGACGCTCGACCCACTTGGCGATCCCGAAACTCAATATATGCGAGCTGGGAGTGTGGCTGGTGCTTGCTAAGTATAGCTACGCGAACACGATAGTAAGCATCTAGCTTTCCAACTCAAATTCGATTTATCAGTCGCTTCATTGGATATAGAAGCTTTTGGACATTGCTTGTGCCCAGGTACCGACGGCAATGCGTGAGTTGTGAGTGGTGGCGTGTTGCACATCCTCCATGTTTCCTCGTACATACGGGTCGTGTGTGTGTGGGTCTTCGCTTTACCGAGGTGGGTTTGTGCGAAAGGTACGATCTTTGTACATAAGAAGTTCGTGGAATGTACGGTGTTGCATTGATTGTTGTGGTGACACGATGATGTCGCATACGCTCGTCCGGCCGAGACAACGAGTTGCCACTCCTACGACCAGCGCGGGAGGAATGTTGGCAGCAGACACGGTTGTACGAGCATGACCTCCTCTTGCACACTCTGTCTTTCACAACCACTACGCTCGGTTCAACTCACCCATCAGCATCGTACCGCATCTCGCCTTCCCATTCTATAGAACGGCGTCGGCGAAACACGAAAGGACCGGACAAGAATAAGAGCGAGAGCCGAACACGAGATAGCACAGTCGTCGCAGTCGAGTCCAGGCCGGTAGACTTCACGTCTTGACCCGATGTGACAATGTTCGAGAACAGTTCTTATATTTGTACATCGTCGAAACGATGCACCGGCATATCTCAGACATGTTTATTCCGCATCACAAGTTCGCACAACCACCATGTCTAGAGCATCCATCCTCAGGCAAAAGCGCACATCTACATCTACGTCTCGAACAGCCAGCTTGCGAACGTTGCACTTAAAAGCGCACTATACAATTGAGTCATAATCGTAATGCTTCTATCGCGGTATCCCATTTCCAACAACAACACATCACCCGCCAACCGTAACGAGCGCAGAGTACTGTTCCATTGCTCAGCAAAAACAGGCTAACCAGTGCAGTTTCCATTCCCTCCGTTCCCACCATTCCACTCACACCCTCTATAGATACGCAGCACTCAGCACCTTTCTCACCGCGTTCTACCGCGTCTTCTTGATTTCCGTCGCCCACCCCTCGATGCCCTCGCCCTTGCTACCAACGGGGATATTCAAATCCACGCCCTCCATGCCTTTTGTGTCTTTCAAGAATTCGTGTCCTGCCATGCCGCCCGCGTTGGCGCGGTCGACGGGTAGTAGTTCCAACATGGGTAACAGGAAATCGGCAATCTTCTTACTCTCCTCTGAGCTGAAATGATATTTCTCGTGGAGGACGTCGGGAAGGGCCCAGTGTCGTAATCGGTGAATGTTACGCAGCTCGCCTTTGCGGTTGAATATCTCCTGTGACCATTTTCCCGACATGCAGAGGCCCTTCGGGAAGGTGCCTAGTAGCTCGATGATTTGTGCGATGTGGTCGTCGTCTTTGCCGTACTTTGTGCCAGATTGTGGGTCGAAGAGGTAGTCGCCGGTGATCAGTTCGAATGTCTAGTATTGTTAGTCTACGCTCTTCAGGTTTGGTGGCTTGCGTACCATCGCGGCCATACTCCAGACATCGGTACTGGCACCCCATTTGCTACCCAGGATAACTTCTGGTGACCTATATTGCCTGGTCTGGATATCGTTGGTAAAGTGGTGTCCAACCCAGCAGGCGTTTCCAAGATCGGCAATCTTGACTGATATGGTTTCGAAAGCGTTTTCGACTTGCTGCTCGAGCTCGGTTTTGCCGGAGGAGCTGCTGGTTTTATCGAGGCTGATACCCGATACCTCCTTAGTAAGGAGATCACTAATAAGATTAGCATGTACTCGAACATGGACTGAGATGACTTACGCGGACTTTTCTCGTTGCTTTTGCGCGTCGTCGTCGCTCGACTTTATTCCGAGCCGTTCTGCCATTGACAGGCTGGGGCCGGCAGATGGAGTTGCTAGAGCACCACTCATTACGACACCGTCTGACGAAGAAGGAGGACTCGGGATAGTCGTGGGGGAGTCTTTACCTGTACCCTCGCTCATAACCTTGTTGAGACTTTGTGTGTTGCCGGGGAAGCTGGAGAGCTCGGCGTGGTTGAAGCTCGCGTTGAGCGGGCTGGGGAGCGGCTGACTGCCTGTGATGAGGGTCCTCCGTCTCCGCCTACCGTTTCTAACGCTGTCTTCGCTGTCCTTCTTCTTCGGTTCGTCCTTTACGTATGTTTTTACGATCTGCTCGACGTCGCCGATTTCGATGAGGACATTCTCAGGCTTCAGGTCGGTGTGGATGATTCCGCATTCGCGATGGAGGTAGTCGAGGCCCAGCAGGACCTGCTTTGTGATCTGCTTGACCAGCGGCATTGGTATACCGCGGTGGTTCCACCTCTTGATCAGGCCCAGTAAATTCTCTCCTAGCACCTCAAACACCATGCAGACGTGGACGCCGTTCGGGCCCTTGTGGTTGAAGGAATCGAGGAGGCTGACGACATGTTTCCGGCCGGGGTGGTTCTCGTTCGCGTCGACCACCTTCTTGAGGAGCTTAATCTCGTCGAGGGCGGTCTCTGTGTAGTGCGCAGCGGAGCGCACGACCTTGAGGGCGACGTGCTTGCCGCTGGTGTTATCCCTCGACAGCCAGACCGTCGAGAAGTGGCCCCACCCGAGCTTGCGCACAATCGTGTACTTGCCGTCCTTGTACTCCTCACCGACCTGCACCGGGTGGTAGCCGCCCTTGCAGTAGTCCTCCGAGTCCTCCTCGTCGGCTGTGTTCTCGGCCTCATCGACCGACGACGACGACGAGTCGGGCGAGTGGCTTAATTGGTTTCCGTACATCTTGTGCTGGGCGAGCGGCGAGTTGGCGTTCTGCACACTGCGGGGTTGAGGTCAGTATAAGGTTGCGGCAGTCAGGGCATGTCGGGCGCATTAAAATAAGTGAAAGAGGGGGGCGCAGGCTGGGCGGGCGGGAGGGGTGAGGCTGCAAGCGGTGGTTGAGGGTAGTGGTGGAGGTGGTGGTGGTGGTGAACGTACTTGTACTGAAAGGAGCCCGTCGAGCCTGCGGGCGAGGCGTTCTGGTTGCCCTGGTTCTCCGTGGTGATGATGGGCTTGAGGTCCTGG